TTTATCATATGTATTTCTTATCTTTATTTTCTGTAAAGAAAAATTGACTTTGTAGTTCCTAAATTTAGTTAAATTGATGGACAAAAAATGACTTGAAATTCAGCCTCACCTTGTTCACAGTAGATTCCAGTGGTTCCTAGAGGACAGTAACAGGTGTATCCATGAAGCAATGAAATACAGGTTGCTCCCATGCTGCAGCGGTGTGGGGGGTCGTGTTCAGGATCACAGGAAGTGACTGTCTCTGTGCAGAATGCTCCTTTCCACCCTGTGGGACAGTTGCAGCTGTAGGTTGAGAGAGAAATTAGCACGTGAATAGGGTTGGATATACTCTTGTTGTCACTCTGATATAAAGTTTGCAACGTTAATTAGGTCCCAAGATTACGTAGGTGCATTGTGATTCAAGCAATCAAGATCAAAATTGTCAAAGGAAAGCATTAATAACTGGTTATAAGATTACTGAACTCCATATCAAGTATTTAAAAAGGTTCAAAGCATGGAAATAGAACATTTTATGAAAATCATTTCTTTCTTTTTATTTTTTGGTATTGGAGAGTGGGGTGCTCTACCACTGAGCTATATCCCAGCCCTTTTATATATATATATTTTTTATTTTGAGACAGGGTCTCACTAATTTGCTGAGGTTGGTCTCAAACATGCAATTCTCCTGCCTCAGCCTCCAGAGTTGCTGGGACTACAGGCATGTGCTACTGTACTTGGGCAGAATAATTTCTTTTGACAAAACCACACTGTAGGTCCCTCTCCTTTTCTGCACACCACCATGGGGAGGAGTTTCTGCCTCTTAACCTTAAATCTGAAGAAAGGAGATTCAGCAGCATTATTTGGAGAGTTTCCTATATGTTCCCTTGTATAAGAGAACACAGAGGCCTAGCTCTTGAGGAATCTTGCCAGGGGTGTGTCACATATAAGTGAATCTCAGGGAAGGTATGCAACACTCTTAGAAATGTCAGACAGAGGTCATAAAATAGGGATCATGCACAAGAGCTGTCCTCCTGGCCAAAAAGACTTCAGTAGTAAAAGGCCCTCTATCAGCTTATGCTTGATGCAGACTATGAGGGCTGGCAGGGAGGACCCAGTTGGAAGAGAGACCTTGCCTGGGTTTACAGTGTCATACTGGGAGAGGCCCAAGTAAGGGAGTTGCTAATGGACGGACCAAAGGTAGGAGTTACCAGGCAAATTCAGGGCATTGACTAATTTGAAATGTCTGATAAACATTGATTTTTTTTGTGTGTACATGTGTAAGCATATCTGATACTGTATTTGAATTTCAGGTAAACAGTATTTTGGATATGCTGAAAATTATTTGTTGTTTATTTGAAATTCAAATTTATCTGGGCACCATTTATTGTCTCCTTTTCCCCCTAAATCTGGCAGCCCTCATTAAATGACATAGTAGAGTAAGTGTCAGCTTTAAATCCTTGCCAGAGAGGACTAAATCTATCTAAAATAGTACCAAAGAAGCACATTCTAAGATAGGGCATGGGGTCTAGGGTTAGAAACTAGCAGGCTGAGGAAAAGCAACAGTGGATCACACCTCCTTCCCACCACCTTCCATTCAAACCAGAGTCCCTGGCTGGGTTTCAGGCACCAGTCTTGAAGAGGCAAGTATTGATCAGTATATTGAAGTGGGTCCTTTAAATTAATAAGTTGAGAGTATATTTAACATGTTTATTGTCAAGTAGAAACAGAAAATTCAGCAGGCTTCCCCATGTTCCAATTTAGCAGCACATAAATGTTGAGTCCCCTATGCAGGTACAAAAAAGATAGTGATAAACACAAGCAAATTTATTTTATGAGTACATCCATGAGTTCTGTGTCACTCTTTTTTTTTTAAATGCATGACAATTATTTTATGTAACACATTGAGTTTTGAAGGAACAGTAACATAACTATTTCAAATCAAACACACACATAAACAAAGGGTCACTCTTTTTTGTTCTCAATGTATTACAACAGTCATTATTTGCTGGCAAACTATAGATACAGTTGACACCAAGAGCACGCTGGGGGATTTGAAAAGCATCACCAATATATAATTTCTACTGTAAACAAGTCAAGATAAGGCAGGTAGAAAATGGAAGTGTCTGTAATTTTGTGTTTTCTTTACCCCAGTAGTTAACCCTCACAGATTCTATGGATTGAGGGTAGTTTACAACCTTTCTAGTTGGATCAAACTATATGACACACATTATATACCATATAGAAGGGAAATGAGGACAACTGGCACTCTTTCTGTAAACAGTGTTAACATCCTTTATCACTTTACAGAAACAACAGATAAAAATATTATAAAATTAAAACAAATCACCTGATCCACCTCTGATTATGACAAAGCTATTTTTTTACCACTTAGCATGTATCTTACTACTATTTTGTTTAAGCACGTTTTACATTTGTTTTTTTATTTTTTGGCACTGGGAATCAAACAGAGAGGCACTTTACCACTGAAGTATATCACCAGTCCATTTTATTCTGAGACAAGTTCTCCCGGGGTTGCTGAGGCTGGCTTTGAACTTGTGATCCTCTTGCCTCAGCATCCTGAGTATTACATCCTGGGATTACAGGCACATGCCTCCTTGTCCAGCTAAGCAAATTTTAACATTAAAAATGCTTTGCATAGTGTTTTACAGTCTCTTGTTTAAAATCAATTTGAAGTACATTATGCATAACATGTATAAATACAGTTTAAAGTTAATGATAAAATGAATGTCTTTGAACCTACTTTACCCCCAAATCTCCCAGAGAATGACCAGGACTTTGAAGGTCACATGTGTGCTTGCCCTGAGAGCCTCCTGACCTATCCTACAGGGAGCTGACATTGTCCTGAAATTCGAGATAATCACTCGCTTCAATTTTTATTCAGAGTTGGTTTTAGGATTCACCTGTGTAGACCTGGTTCATTGTCATTGCTATATAACTTGATGAATAGAGGGTCTTAATTTCTGTGTCATTGAAATTTTAATATTTCCTTCTATGGTTTGAATTTTGTGAGACCCTTATTTGTGAAATTCTTCCATATTACAAGATCAAATCGTTGTTACATGTTATCTTCCAAATCACATTTTTGTCCTTTACATTTAAGTCTTAATATGCCTAAAGTTATTTTTTTTTGTGTTCAACGTGAGGTGCAGTTAGTTCTCCATGTGGACAACCAGTAGTCCTAGCACTCTGTTAAACAGTTCACCCTTTTCCACTGATGAACCATGTTCATTTATGAAAGGCCTAGATCTAGTTTAGACTAGTATTTGGGTCAATGTCACAGTCTTCATTTCTCCAGCTTTAGAAGTCTGGATGTCTAGAGCAGCGAGTTCTGCTACTTTGTTTTTCTCTTGAGAGGTATATTAACTATTTTTAGCCTTTTTCTCTTTCAGGTATTTTCCCTTCAACTAGTTCAAAGTGTAAGATAGGCAAATTTACCCAATGTCTCTGTGTAAAATGGCATTTGTTTCTCATTTATTTTTATACTGTGCATGTCGCTGTTTTTGGTGTTAGTCCTGTGAGGAGTTTCCTATTAGGTTCTCTATCTCAGATAATTCCATGGTAACCTATGTTGCCTTGAAAGGGTAAATTTAAAGTCTCCAGGTTTCAGTAGAATTCAGGGCAAAGCCAACTCTGAGGCTTATTCCTCAGGATCTTGCTTTCATTTCATTTGGGCTCTGTTAATGGATTGTTTTCACTTCAGATGAAAGGAAATATACTGAAATATATACATTTTATATTTATTCAGATTTGAGTATTTTCATTTGGAATAATCATTCAGTATATGTAATTTTCCACAAAATCTGCAAAGAGAAACTTCCTACAAATAAACCTAAAAAATCTTTACAATATTTATAAACATCTTTCCATGTTTTTTAACTTCTAATCCACAGCCTTACATTTAATAATTGAATATTATGACATTAAATTGATGAAATAAAATTCATTCTCATTGTTATTTGTGAGATATGTTATGTTTTTAATTTTCCATTTTCTATTAACAATATTGTGATAAAACTCCTGTAGCTAATAGATCTTTGGATACCTACAATCATTTACTTAGGAAAAATTCAAATGTCGACATGACTTCTCAGCTTTAAATGCATATCCCAGCCTGCCCACCATAATAATTGTATCAATTTACATTCCCATTATTAGCATATGAAAGTGCCCCTAAAATAATAGAATTGTATGTAATTGAAAATGTGGATCATTTTTACAGGCTTTTTGAACTGTGCTGACCTAATAATGATTTATTAAAGTAAAAATTATTAAGGGTCTATAGACACATATTTATAAAAGATATACTTAGTTTGAATTCCTATTTTCCTTTACTACTTGATAGTATAAATCAAATTTATGCCTCATAAGGATTCATTTCTATCATATATATGTATATATATTTATTTTTTATTAAAAAAATTAGTTGTAGATGGACACAATACCTTTATTTTATTTATTTGTTTTTATGTGGTGCTCAGGCTCTAACCCAGTGCCTTACACATGCCAAGGAAGCATTCTACCACTGAGCCACAAACCCAGCCCCCGTATATATAATTTTGGTGTCTATTATGTACACTGCATTAGGTTAGGTCATAAGACCTGTAAGGAGTGAACTCTAGCTCCAGGAGAGGGGAGGCTTGTAGGGTAAAGGCCAGCCAGATTGCAGTTGCTCAGGTGTCCAGTGCATAACACAGAGAGGTGCTGCTCGAATCCAGGAGCCAGTGGATGAAACACGAATAACATGACCAGCAACTTGTTCACCAATGCACTGATAGTCTTTGGTTCCAGAAGGAATTTAAGGTGCAAATTTTCATCTATTTGGAATTTATGTCTAGGAGCATGAGGCACATTTATAATAAGACAAACAAATATCTTGGAGGCATTAAACAGTATGTTTAGATGGGTTGTAATGAAAGAAAACATATACTTTTGCATATAAATTAATAGTTTTTAATAAAAAACAATTTGAAAAATTGCATAGGATTTTCTAAAGTGAAGACAAAATGCTGAATACCACAGTTACATATGATTTTGATTATTATTTTAAGATCACAAAGAACAGAAATGTGTAAAGACCTTTTATACAAAAAAAATAGGAGTTACCAATTTCACAAAAGAAAAAAAAACTATAGTAAAAATGCTACTTAAAATTCTTAAAGAATTTAAAAATAAAAATAAAAAAATTTATTTTTAAATGATGATTGCACCCTCTAGTGGTTCATTTTTGTCATTTGAAAAAAAACAAAGCTAAGAACAAAATGTCTCACTGTCTTACTTATAGA